TACAATTATTTTGGCAAATCTAAACAAGTGGATTTTATGTAACAATATTTAACATTTAATAACAGATTATTTACTATTTTCATGTTAATATCAATGTTAACAATTGATTGACAATTGTTAAATTTATCTGGGAAATTGCTTTTAAATAAATATATATAATATATTCTTATAAATATTTAAATATTTAAATTAAAATAATCTAAAAAAACACATGAACTACGTACATTATATTGCGATATATATTTTAATATATTGTATCATTAATTACTTGATAGAACATTATTGAATCAATTCAATGATCAGGTTTCCAATTTCTACATTATTCCAAAATCGATTAAACGGAGGCCTTTTGATGTATAACCTAGTTTAATATCATCACCGAATGAATATCATGAATACTATACGTGAAATAGAATATATATAATATTTACAGAGAGATAGATGGCAATAAATAATCAGATTAAATTCTAAAAAAAAAAAGAAACAATTTTTTTGAAATATTAAAATATGGAAGATTTTTGTGGAAAAATTCAATCCAATCATCCTTGTTCAAGACCATTTGTCTTTTGTTTATTATCTTTTATTTTATTATAATGTGTTATTGATAAAGTAGAAATATGAAAATACGCGATAATGTTGTTGTTTGGCAAAATATCAAGAAGTGCCTAAACAACAATTATTATTTATCTAACAAATTACTCGTTTTTTATATTTTCAATGATCGCGTATAAGATATAATTTCATATTTTCTTGAGACAGGGAATATTGAGATAAAATATGTCGTTATTTTTGTAATTATTAACTAGGAGTTGCAAGAAATTAATCGAGGATATTAGAAATAATTCTCTGTAAAATAAAGAAATCATTTTTAAGAAAATTCCAATCAATTATTTCATTGAGTCTTGTAAATTATATAATTGATAAATAAATAGAGGAATACATTTTTTTTTAATATTTTTTCTTTGTCCCAGGAAAATATGAAATGATATATTATACGCAACTATTGATTAGACGCTTAATAACCGAAACATAAAGAACGAGTAATTTAGCAATTTGTTAGATAAATAATTATTGTTTTGGCATTTTTTGAGATTCTACTAAACAACAATATTATCGCGTATTTTCGTGTTTTTACTTTGTTAATAATTTACACTTTGCCTCGATTACTATTGTTGCCAATGAAACGGCCGCAATACATTCTGTTTGTACCTTGCATTTGCGCACTTTGTTTAATCGCTTAAACAACGACAAAGGACGTAATTGTGTTGTGATATAAAGGAAAGCCAGGGCTCTCTCTCTCTCTCTCTCTCTCTCTCTCTCTCTCTCTATTCTGTCACTATGTTAACAATAACATTTGCTTTAACTTTAAGGCATTGAATTATTCCCATTTATCTCGAAAGGGGAAATTCAGCAATCTGATTCGAATAATAAAAAGGCACTGAAAAAAAATTAAATTAATAAATATTTATTTCACACAATGCAGCTTTATAAATTATTTGAAACAAATAAATATTGTGATTTGTTTTGAAAAGGATTTTCTTATATCAAATAAATATTTTTTTTACATCAAATCAATATTATTAGTTTCAAATAAATGATTTATTATGTATAAGAGGCAGTATGGAAATAAATATTTATTCAATAATTTTTTTTTCAATGTACGATATAACAATTTATTTAATAATACATATATTTGAGATACATATATATATATATATATATATATATATTTATGTTTGTAAAAAAATTACTCTGCAATAATGAAAATAACACTTTTAGTATGGAAATAATTATTCGCGAAATTTTATTTAATTCATGTTATACAATGAATGCAGTTTTTATATTTTAATATACTTACTTCACCAACGATTTAATTTTTAATGACCGGTTTCCGTTCCGATAATATGAAATGCACGGGTGAGGAGTGCAAAAATAACGATATGACATCGTTTCGCGCGAAACACTATTTAATATTTGTAACTATTTTGTGTTACATTAACGATTATCGCTATCCCAGCTGCTATCTACAATTACGGAAAATGTCCTGCGCAATAACGATAAAACAGCAAGTTGATATAATTTTAAGACTTCTAAATAACTGAGGGATAAAAAGATTGATCAAATATTATTATGAATATTATTAAAAATTTTATTAGAAAGATAAAAATATCAGTTGTCATTAACATATAATAATTTGTTAAGAATGTAATGTTTACGTTAAAAAATCAAAATAAAATTGAAATTAAATAGTTAAAATTTTCACTATTTTAACTATTTAATTTCAATTTTATTTTGATTTTGTAACATAAACATTACATTCTTAACAAATCATTATCTAATTAATCAAGTAAAAAAATTGCCATCAATATTAACATTTAGGTAAATATTGGGACTTGTTTAGCTTGTTGTTCCTTCTATTTTTTTTAAATATTGAGATTATTGAGTCTTCGACCCGATTATCGAATCTGAGAGTTGCGCAATCGTCCAATCATGCATATTTCGTCGACTGCTTTATCTGCTTTGTTTCACGGATATCGGATTATATACGAATGTAGATTCGCGATGAAACAATTTCCTCGAAATCCATCGAACATAGTTCCTCCATGCAGTGGATTGTCGAAATCGATTGTACACGGCATCGAGATACCTTCCCGGCAGATTTGTCGGAAATATCGATACAATGAGATTGACGTAAATACTGTTATAACCGATGGTTCAAGGTAGGGATATTCAAATATTTTACCAGTTGTGATTCATGGAATATCGTATTGACTTGACTTGTCATACACGAAAATAAAATTGCCGCGTTGATAGAATTACCTGCGATGGAAAAATATAATTGCAGAGTTATATGTATGAGCTCGCCAAAAGCTTTCGATATAAAAAAGCGCTTGAATATTCTTTCATGAGACGAGAAATTGATTGATCGCTTCACCTCGTGGTTAAAAGAAGTCAGATAGGCAGTAATGGTGCTCGATAGTCAGTCCAATAGATTAAATTGCGTAGATAAAGATGCTTGAAGAAGATGAGAAAAATAAAGCAAAAATAATTTAGTATACGAAAAAAGCGTATGAAGAATTTACATCATAATCCTCTGTCCCACTTTCTAATTTTCAATTCTATTTGGGAATAATTTACTTCTGCTTTACAGAATTTATGTTTTCATAAAATACTTAAAATTCTAGTTTCTTTTATAAAAGTATTGAAATATCTATATATACCATATTTATTTTTTTGAATATTGCTACTTCTTTTACGTCTTTTTTATGAATAACTATTCAATTACAAATTTAAAAAATTCTCTTTACATGTAAATGAGTGCTCTCTATATACTATTGCATGGTAATTGTGAGAAGTATATTAAGTTGATGTACACAGATTATACAATTTTTACGAGCGTTGAAAATGTTTATTCTTTGCATTATTCAATATTATACAACCGATGTTTAAACCTTTTATTTCGATGTAGAGAAAGTATCCAGACATCTGCTGCTCTCTTTCTGTTGCTCATAGACTTCTTCTTTTCATTATACAGAACAATAAATGATCATTGTTAGATTATTATTCGACGAAGAAGAAATACAAAACTTTATTTCGCCGCAAATACCGTAAAGTGTATCGTAATAATATTCAATCAATATATTCACTTTTAAAAATGCCAAAAAAAAAAATTGCAAAAAAGTGAGGTACAGAAATTTTACGCAAATAAAAATAATATATCGCTACAGTACAATAATGTAACGTTACAGATTTGCCGATATCGGATTTTCAATTGAAAATTTATTTCGTTTGCGTAGACTTTTGCACATGGAATCGTCTCGCATCCGCTAATAAATTAATTTCCGCTTTTTGACTGTACGTGTTTCACACAACACTGCTTTATATTTAGCCATATAAATGTGTTGAAAATGCATAAAGAATTGCTTGGTTAAACGGATTGTTTGGCAGTATGGATTGCTCGTTCTTTAACGCACGTACTGTATTTTTTTTCATTCGTCTTTCTTTCTTTTATTTATTTTCTCGTAACGAAATTTTTGTCTGTTAAGTGCTCGCATGCATACACTTACATATTCACACACCCCAACACGGCTGTAACGTATTAATAAATTCGCCGCACATGACGTAATCTCCTCTCTCAACAAACAGCGATATAATATATTCACAATATATGAAACGCCGCCGTATATAGCTAAAAACAGTTAATCGGCTTACCTACTTTTTTTCTTTCTTCTCGTGAAAAACGCTCGCTGTACATACATCAGTGATAATAAACTATTTCGATTGTGTCAAAATATGACTAGGTTTTTCGCGCGTTTCGCGGATTTTATCTACCTAAACCACAAGCGCGCGTATAATAATATGTTCGTATTTATGTACAAATACACGTCGACGTATACAATACATATACATATTTATACATATACATTACGTTAAGTGCATTTATAAATCACATACATACACACACATTCACACACATCCATGCATATATATATATTTATACAAAAGATTTATAAATCACTTTTCAACAATTAGTATACCATCTTGCATATAATACAACGTTTAGATGCGATCGAGTAATCGTATTTTTTTCTCTCATCGTTTATTTTTCCTTCATTATTTTCACGATTCAATTTTCGATTGATTTTTTAAATGTAAATTATATAATTGCTAATATGTGTGTTTTTTTTTAGAAATAACTAATATTTTTGCTAAATCGCATATTTATACAAACGTTCGCGCAGACGTAGTATAGTATTAACATGGCAAAAGAGATTTTTTATAATATATACAAAACGTTATTATTATAATTTTAATGAAGATTTATAGAGAGGATATATATTATATTTATTGTAATTTTTTGTGACTCGAACTTTGAGTTGTTTGTTCCTCTAATTAAATGGTTCAAAGAGATTTCTAATAAGAGAATTGGTAAAAAGTGTAGAGTGTATTTTTCATGAAATTTAAATTTAAATTTTTGCTAATTATATATTTTACGAAATAATATGTAGAGTTATTTTAGAAAAATTTAGAAATAATATCAATTCTTCGTAATAAGAAGCATCATTTGTATTAACTTGTGTCGCAATTTAATTTTAGTATTTGCTCATCTTTCGTTCAAAAATTATTGAATATTAGTTTTTATTTTTTTTTTTTGCTTTGACACTTGTTTAGGCTTTTGGCAGTGGTCTAATTCGAATTTGGTCCGAGTCATATATATGATACAGCTGTCGATGTTTTATTGCACTATATTTATCATCGCGTGTGAGTTTTTATTTAGCTGTTTTATAATCGATTATTTTATTCATTTTATTGGTTCCTTTCGCTTCGCATTTTCGATCGAGATCGAGGATTCGTGAAAGAAAAAATACTATGGGTTGCAAAATTATAATCTGAAATTATTGTCATTGGAAATTGCATTCCAATGGACGTTGGCAATCGCTAGTTAGTGTGCGATCAGCTGATCTCGCGAGCGACCTCGCAGAAACCGCAAAATCTGACATGGCAATCCCATATCACTGTCAACCGCAATTAAGTCGTCGCAGATACTTTTTTTAGCTATTTTATCGCTTTGGCGCAGTTTCCGCGAGAAATTTGCTAGCCTACGAGTCGCGATGTAATTTTGAAATACATTTCTGCACGCGAAAACCAGCCTTTGACGGACTTGATCGACCTTCTAAATACGTTTCGATATGTGTAATTTGAAATTCGGCTCTTGTAACCACCTCTGCTCGCGTTCTACCGACATCGCAGTCGGTTTCCGAGTCGGTCTCTGGTTGGACACACTTCGGACCAACTCAAAATTCGGCTCTTTTCACACTCCGAAACACGAGCAATTCCTGGTCAACTGGCATTGCGCGGCATTTCATTTTCCATGCATATTTTTCCCCTATTATTCCTATATTATCGCGATTGATCTACGACACTCATCTATGACACTGGCACTTTTCGATTTGATCCCGGCTCGATTTGTTGGTCGAACGTATGTTTCCATCAGCTATATATGATACCGATAGGTGAACAGAGCATTCCGTTGTTTTCACATATAGATACCAGCTTTGATTCGGATAGTTTCCGAGAACCATTCGTTCGCCGAGACGTCAGCCTACATTGACGAACGTGGCAGGGTAGCTCCCATTTTCCTGATTGGAGCATACGTTTTTGGCATCAACACCGGTTCGATCGATACTTGCGTGGGCGCCGGTGGTGATTTCGTTGAGTCTTCTTGAGATAGTATCATATCCTACACATTTGTTTACTGTTGGAACAATAGCGAGTACACGGGAGAACGTATTTCATACAAAAGGAAATGAAAAAAGGGAAGATAAAAGAAAAGAACCGTTGCAGTTCTCTCGTCCGATTGATCGATCGTTCTCAGCCTTCGATTTCTCGTCGGCACGCTCTCAATCAATGATGATCCGATCATCGTCGTCGGCGCGGGATGGCCCTCGTTGCGGTTTACCAACTCGCTCCGGCGACTATATGTGCTATAAGCAGGTCTCCTTCTGATCGATTACGTTGATGACCACCGAGGCCTGCGTGGACAGCTCCTTTTGAGCGGGCACACCTGTCGGCACCTCTTCGAGTATTGGTCAAAGGGTCGTGGTCCTCGAGACCGTGGCCGAGGGTGGCGGTGGCGGTGGAGGCGGCGGAGAAATTACTACATCCGGTTCACCCGCTAGGTCGCAGTCGAATCTCCAGAGAATATTCTCAGGATGGTCACCTCCTAACGTAGCACAGCGGTTAATCATTCAGTTTCATTCGAGTCGTCATTGGGATGAATATATTTGAACGGAGAAAATTTTCTTTATTTAGAATTTATCCTGAAAGTCAAGTTAACTCTTAACTGGTATCAAAATGACCCAAGAGGTGTAAAAACTAATGTTAATTTTCTTATAGTGATTTTAGACAAGTTATGTAATTATTTAACAACACATCAATCAATGACTGATATTATTGATTGATGTCTTTGGAAGAGTGTATTGTTTTATTTAATCAAATGAATAACCATAAAAATCTATAATAATATCCCACTAATGAGAAAGTATTTTATGTTGGGGTTTCAAATGACCCCACGATGCCAGTTTAGTCAGTGAATTTGACGATACCAGTTAAGGGTTATTTGTGGGACAGTACGATATTGAAGAATTTTATAAGAATTTCTCTGATTAATATTTACCACAATAAAAATATTAATATGAACATAGTAAATTTTATTATGTGTATAATAAAATTAATCGAACATATTTTATTTATATCTTATTGTGGTATAGATATTAATATTTTTAGTGTAGTAAATATTCATTAGAGAAAATTCTTTCAATACCATATTGTCTCATGATTATCATGATTTTTAGGATAAATTCGAAGAGAAAATTCTCTCAGTGTACAAACTTTATGAATAAGTTTCAGGGACCAAAATAAGCAGAAAATGACTTATCAACATGGGGTCGAAAATGTTTCTTCCTAGAGTTATGACGGTTTCTTTTCTTGTTATACTAAATGCTGAAAATGACTTTCATTTGAGTCCAAGGAAGAGCTTGTGCCTGAACCATCATAATTCTACATAAACAAGCGTTTTCGCCCCTATGTTTATATGACATTTTCTTGTTTTGGTCTCTAGAACTTATTCCCAAAGTTTGTACAGACCATTCAGATACACTCTGTATTTGCCCTCCATCGATATAATTAATTCTTTGAGCTTGTAAAATATTTTTTTCAATTAAAGTTTAATTGAAAAAAAATATACCGCGGCGCGAAATATTTTTTAAATACTCTCTAATCTTCTTGGAATAGAATCTTGCTCCGAAGAGGTGGAATCGCACTCTTTTGGAGTGAGATTCCACTTCAAGAAATTTAGAGAGTACATTGCAAATTTAAACATGAACAGTTATTGCACTAAAAAAATTTATTAAATTCGAATAAATATTTATTTCAATAGTGCCAAATAAATCATTTATCTGAAACTAATAATATTGATTTCATGATTTGAAAAATATTTATTTGATATAAGAAAATCCTTTTCAAGACAGATAATATTTATTTGTTTCAAATAAATGATTTATTAGGCAGTATTGAAATAAATATTTATTAATTTAATAACTTTTTTCAGTATATACAAATAACTGATAAATTGTAAATGAGGATCATAAAATTATGAAAAAATAACGCTGCTAATAAATACAAGAAAATTTAGAAAATAAAAAACATAGTTAGGACTATAGAAAAATTCTAATAAAATAGAAAGAAATTGGAAAGATTAATAAGAAAAAAATAAAAAATCATTTCTTAATAACCCATTTTTCGTTATAGATAGAAAAAAAGTAATTCTTTGACATTTCGAAATAGGAAGAGAGAGAAAAAAATACTCAACTTAAATTTACAATCCTTTTTTCTTCTCTACTGAGTTTATCACAACTATACTCACGTTTGAAATTAATCCATGTAAATTTAACCATAACGATCAACGTGCTCGACGTAGCAAACATAATAGGATACGGTATAATCGGTATTTCGCGGCCGACGATAGACACAATCGTACCTTGACCCAAGATGATGCCCGAAGACCCCCGTCTCTGCCTCGGCGGAGGTGCTTGGTGTTTGTGCGCATGGTGGCTGTGTAGGTGTGAATGTGAGTGGCAGTGTGTGTGACGCGTGTGCGTGGGAGTGGCTTTGCACGGTTGTGGTTGCTGTTGTTGCGACTGCTGCTGAAGTTGCTGCTGCTGTTGCTGCTGCTGCTGCTGTTGTTGCTGACGACGAAGGTGAGGATGAGGCCTGTGCTAGGTGTTTCCGCCATGGGGCATCTGATCGAAGCTCAATGATTTCTTCATCTCCGTCATCGACAACGCACCACCCTCCTGCTGAGGAACAAGTATAAGGGCAAAGTGTTAGCTGTATCGCGGACCGATAGGCGAGGAGTCGACTTTCGCAAGTAGTCACAGACGAGTTATTAAAAGTTACGGGAAGTTGTTAAAAGTTATTAAAAAAGAAAAGGAAAGAGAGGACAAAAGGTTATCATTAAGTCGCGTTGATATAACTACGCCTTTAGAGTTGTCTATTTGAAATGAGCAGCACGTGACAATTTTTGTTTGTCAGGAATTTTGGAATGTAGCTTTCAGATCACGTTTTTAGAATGGAATAAAGCGAGTTAGCTTATTATTACGATATACACGCAGATATATTGCCGGATAAGAGACAGCTATATGAAGGTGGAGCGACTCATAAAAGCGAATAGCCACCTTGCGAATATTGTCTAGTCATCTTATATGTTGGTAATTGCAAAATAAAAAATAATTACAGGTTAATACGTGCTCACGTGACTAACTACTTAATAATTTCTAACGTTAATGGCAACAAGATCATTAAATGCAGAAAGCTTAAGAGCTAATACTACCGCTTTTAAGAGCATCTTAGAGAACTGTTATAATTCTTTACGTACGTTTTAGGAAATTGAGAAATAAATCTGATTAACAGAAACGTTGGAAAACGTGAATAATTACATTACAAAAATCAAAATAAAATAATTGATATAATTATACTTATTTTATATATAATTTAGTCAAAAATGCTTAGAATTAAATTTGAAATTATATGAATAAAAATTATTTCAAAATCAATATTATTTTTCACGTTTGCAGATTAATATAAATATACGATAGACAATTACTAATATTTTTCATATCTACATATAAATAGATAAATTCTTTTAATTGTAAACTTACAAGTAATCGCGAAAATTGACAAGCACGCAACTGTGATAATGTGACAGATAATGAGTAGAGAGAGAGTATGCAAAATCAACGGAGACAGAATAATACAGTCGATGTGGTTTATTGGAATTCAGAATGCGCAATCTTCGCTTGAATACAATTGAATTTTCTCGACAATGCGGATGTCGCATATTCGTTGTATATGTCAGCGACAAACGGCGCACAAGTATGAGTTAATTACTGTTAGATGTATAGTTAAGCCACGTGTGTATTTATGCGACACAATACGTACGTTTGATTTCGCGAACATTCCGCAATTACTCGATCGTATGCACGAAAATTTACATCGCGCGTCAAATAACAAATTGTCAAAAAAAAAATTATTTTTTCTATTTACGTTTCGATAAATAAGAACAGAATGAGTAAATACGATTGAAGAGTTTTTCAATAGAATTGACATTTGTAATTGATCAATCTACGTCATTGTGGCAAATATAACTCTTTGAAAGTTACATCACATATCTACGTAGAGAAACGTTGTTGGAATTGCAGAAGTAACAGTTTCAGATGGATCCGTCGATTGAGTCGCTAATCCTACTTTGGCATGATCGTAATTAAACTTTAAAGTGGAAAAGTCTGCGTGACGAGAGGAAGAGACAAGATGTCAAAGTGGAAAGAGATGAAGAGAGAGAGATAGAGAGAGAACGATACATTATCGTTCTTGTCACGCGGAAATTTACTTTGGAGTGTGTTAATATCTTACGAAATTTTCGCTGCTAATAAAAGGTATCGCCCATCTTAATCTTTGTCACTTAAATATTATCGTACACGGAATGGAAAGATTAGATTTAATCGCGAGAAAAATACCTACGCAAATAGTTCTAGAATTTTTTCTTATGATTGATTATAACTCTTTTTGACTAAAACAAAGCATTATTAGTAGCATTAAAAGGAAATAAATATAAAAAAATAAAGAGTAGGAAGAAAAAATATTTTTTATTAATTTTAAAAATGACAAAATTATACAATTTTTTTTTATAAAAGCTTTATATAAAATAAATTATATATATATTATCGCAAAATTATAATAAGTTTTTCTCTCTCAATTTCTCTCTTTCAATTTCTCAATTGTTGATTTGATATTTTAAATATGAAAAAAAAAAGAATGCTATGATCTATGAGTTCGAGAAAATGCAATTCAAAAAAATGTATCTCGCGATCTTTTAAAAAATTATTTCATTTTCAAGGCTGTAATGCTCACGAAAGTATACTCTTGCAAGTTTTCATACGGGATAATAATATTGTATCGAACGGATGCAACTTTCAGAGCATAATATATTCCTCACAAGTTTTTAAGACGAGCAACATTGACGAGCAACTTACATCATTCGACGAAAGGAAATAAACGTATAAAAGATACGTCAGACGTCAATCTCATTTATGTATGACGTATCTTTTATACGTTTATTTCCGCATCAATCACATATTATATTGTGTTATCATGAAGCCAAATCATTCCCGACGGAAATTCCATTAAATTAAGCTCGAAGGTAGAACGCACGTTATTATTGTTAGAAGTTTACGCATGTAATTAAGTGTGTGTATATTGCAATTGTAAGCGTGTGATATATGTATAATCCTTGAGACGTGACACCGCAGGCAATTCTCTCAAAACTGCGAGAGGTACAAACGTGCGATAATAAAAAAACATATTGTTGTAATATAATATATATTTGATTAATAATTCAGTAATATAATATATATCATATATATCATATATATATATATATATATATATATATATATATATATATATATATATATATAGATATATATATATATATATATATATATATATATTACATATTTATAACAGAAATATATATAATATATAATTAATATAATATATAATATACATATAATGTATAATATATATATATATATATATATATATATATATATATATATATATATATATATATATATATGTATATATTTTTTGCACATTTAAAGGAGTCTCGAAAATCAAAAAATTAACTCAACAGAGCTATCCAAAAATTATCATAACATTTTACAGAAAGACGTGTAGAATAATGCGAGAAATTCTTAGGAGAAGAAAATTAATTGACGTTTGTATAATTGTACTCCCTTGTCGAGATGTGTACAATATTCTTCGATTATCCGTCATTTTTCTGATTTTGAGAGCTCTGTATAAAAATATGGAGGAATGTTCGGGCTCCTTGGAAGCTGTACTCTCAGCACGGTAATGCAAATTATCGCGCGAATCTGAATTTTCGAGTGACTATGCATGCGTATAGTTCTTAGGGGGTTCTTATTTTCTCGCTACAAAAGACGAGAGAAATCCGGAGGTCGGAATTGGCTTTGCTTGGAAATTGAATTACCGTGGAATGAGTATCGCTCTCTCCGCGACCAGCAATCGGCTCTTCTCGGAAAGCTCCTATAATCTACCTTCGCGTTTGTATCTTTCCTTGATTGTTACGCCACTTTTATTCGCGAATAAAGACGTCAATGACAATTTTTTTATTCCTCACGAGTTGTTGAATAGAATCCACAATTGCTCGAGCAGTTGGGGCGTTATTATTAAAATTATTTTTTTTTTTTCAAATTGAATGAAAGATAAAACAGAAGCAGAATATATGCAGTTTGTAACAAGAATAATGTCGCATAATTGACTAACGTGTGAAAGGAGAAGAGACAATAAGGGATTTTTTGGCCCGCCCACAGAATCTTCAAAAAATATTTTTCTGTATTGTATGATAATTGGAAAAATAAAAATAAGTATTAGATGAAAAAAAATTCGAGTCATAAAGCTAAAATTAATTATTTATTAGACTAGGTGTCTTCTCATGATAAAACATTTTATTATGCCATCATATTAACGTTATTTTAGATTGCAACATGTATCATCCTCAAAAGGTTTAATATGTCCAAGAAACTTAAAAACAAAAAATCTAAGAAACAAAAAATTCAAAAGCAGCAAAAAAAAATAAAATAAAAAATAATAAATACTTTAGATGTCCTATCAAAATTTTTTTTATTAAATTATTTATTAAATTATTTATCACAACAGAATCAGGGTGTCTAGCGGTCAGGAAAATTTGGAAAACCGGGCATTGTCAGGGAATTTTATAAATCTGGAATTGTCAGGATAAAGTCAAGAAATTTTACTATTTATCTATTTTTTCATATTATTCTACATTTGGCTTAATAATTGAAATTTTGTATTAAATAAATATAAACTTCTCCTTGATTGTCAGTACGCTAATTTTCTGTGTTGTTAAAAATCGATTCATCTACAGCGTGTGTCGTTAATTTATACTTTCATCGTCGTGTTATTTTATTTCGATGTGTTTGATAAAGATAAAAATTTGATATAATATAAATAAAAAAGGTGATTATTTAAATAGTTTATAGTGCATGACATGTTTGTTTTGATTATGCAGATTATATAATAGATTTACATTTTTGTTTTTTTCACTTCTGAACCTTTTCATTGTTGGCAATATCTCAAGGATTTCATGATTTAATATTGTTTTATTATATAGATATATGCAAATTATATATTTGGAAAAAATAATATTAAAAAGTCAGGGAAAGAATTAATTTCTGGTCTTGGAAAATCTGAAAAAATCAGGGAATTTTTTTCATTGAGTCTGCTGGACACCCTGCACAGTTAAATTTTAACTGCCTAATAAATCATTTATTTGACATTTTTGATAAGAAAATCCTTTTCAAAACAGATAGATATTTATTTGTTTCAAATAAATTATTGATTAGGCAGTATTGAAACATTTATTAATTTAATAATTTTTCCAGTACATATTACAACCTGAAATTTAATTTAGACATCCTGTTGAGCCTTCTCCCCTCGAAAACATGTGAAACAAAAATGGAGCGTTATCCTCAAAGACGGCGATTGAGACGAGTCGCGGGAGCCCCCGTCATGCGGGACAAGACTTACACCATTTAATCGCGGGAACTCGATGCTCGGTATGTAGGTGGTCTCCTCGTGTTCCGCCGCGGAGCAGAGCCGCGTTCTCCTTCTGTAGGACAGTTCGGAATTGCGCGACTTCGCGGCGGGCCTCTGGCGGGAACCGCAGCGGACGGCGAATCGCAATTCCGAGGCCATTTCGGCGCAGAGGGACTGTGTCGTGGATCGGTTAAACGGTGGCCGAGAGAGTGAGATAGAGAGATAGAGAGACGAGTCGGGAGATGCACGCGCGTGTTTACCAAGGTCCAAGGAACAGGCGCCGATACGACAGGTACAACATACACCAAGAGACATAAAACATATACACAATACACACGAGACGATCAGACGAGAGACCGAACGCATGCAAGAGGCTGATTTCTCTCTCCGTCGAGCGAGGTCGTTCATCAGGCTCGTTGCTCCGGATGTCGTTCCTTTGATTGCGCGAGTACGACTTATCGCATCAACATTCCGCGTGTACACGGAGTAGGAAAATTTGTCTTCTTTTTCGTTAAAAACGATCCCCGTGAACATTTTTGCTCAAGAACTAATTTTTTATACACAGAGGGGATTTTCTCTTAGAATTTAATATTAAAAGAATCTTATAAGAATTTTTCTGATTAATATTCACCATAATAAAAATATTAATATGTACATAGTAAATTCTTAGTAAAATTTACTATGTACATAATATTTTTATATAATATTATATATAGTTAAATATTCTTATATATTGCACTCATTGCCAGTCTCCAAAATTCTATGTACTAATAACAAAAAAAAATTGCAAATTTTTCTGATTAATATTCACCATAATAAAAATATTAATATGTACATAGTAAATTCTTAGTAAAATTTACTATGTACATAATATTTTATATAATATTATATATAGTTAAATATTCTTATATATTGCACTCATTGCCAGTCTCCAAAATTCTATGTACTAATAACAAAAAAAAAATTGCAAATTTTTCTGATTAATATTCACCATAATAAAAATATTAATATGTACATAGTAAATTCTTAGTAAAATTTACTATGTACATAATATTTTATATAATATTATATATAGTTAAATATTCTTATATTGCACTCATTGCCAGTCTCCAAAATTCTATGTACTAATAACAAAAAAAAATTGCAAATTTTTCTGATTAATATTCACCATAATAAAAATATTAATATGTACATAGTAAATTCTTAGTAAAATTTACTATGTACATAATATTCTTATATAATATTATATATATTAAATTTCTTATATTGCACTCATTGCCAGTCTCCAAAATTCTATGTACTAATAACAAAAAAAAATTGCAAATTTTTCTGATTAATATTCACCATAATAAAAATATTAATATGTACATAGTAAATTCTTAGTAAACTTGACTATGTATACATAATATTCTTATATAATATTATATATAGTTAAATATTCTTATATTGCACTCATTGCCAGTCTCCAAAAATCTATGTACTAATAACAAAAAAAATTGCAAATTTTTCTGATTAATATTCACCATAATAAAAATATTAATATGTACATAGTAAATTCTTAGTAAACTTGACTATGTACATAATATTCTTATATAATATTATATATAGTTAAATATTCTTATATTGCACTCATTGCCAGTCTCCAAAATGCTATGTACTAATAACAAAAAAAAATTGCAAATACTAGAATTTGATTATTGTTTTATTTAATAGTTCGAGACTCGAACGACCTCGGTCAATCGAGAGAAAGTACAACTCATGCAACACGTTCACACGCGAAGCGCAAAATAAAATCCTGTGTAAATAAGTATCGTCCTGTCGGCATTTTGCTCAACTTACCCTGTCCGATTGGACGTTCTTCTTGGAGTTCCAGCAGAACTCGAGGATCGCCACCAGAATCGCGAGCGCGAGACCGCAGAGTAGGACGACGAAGACACCGCCTGAAATGACAAAACCGGAAGCTCGTTATTTTAATGCCGGGAGGGTTGATCCCTTCTATAATTTTGCCATAAGAGAAAAAGAGGAAGAAATACTGTCGGCGATCACGAAATACGGGCTGTTTATCCTCCATCTCGCGAATCCGTTCTCGTATCTCCTTCCTCCATCCCTGCTCGTCTTCGTTAGTTCGCCGGAGATCAGAGGGCAAAGAGTAAAAGAGGAAGGAGAAGAAGGGTGGAAAAAAGAAATAAAAAAAGTTCTTGGCCACGGAAAATCGTGCGCGCAATATCTAAGCGAAGCTCGCCCTCTCTCAGATCGATCGCCTTTTCGTCGTTTCACCAGGGGAGGAAAACTAAGGAGGGATGCGAGTGTGTGTTCTGCGCGTGGAAATGCATATATGCTGATAAACGGCCGGGTATTTGTATTTATTGCGATGCGGAAGTCACGTGCAAAAACGATAAACCACGTGGGGTGTTTACGCGCTTGGCGCGAAATTTAGTTCACGATGGAAAGGGTGGCAAGTATGCGGAAGTTGAAGTACGCACTCGTAATTAATGACTGTTTTCGCGAAATTTCGCAAGATTATTCGTAAGATTGGAACTATCTGTTTCTGTATCTTATCGGTTGATTTATGTTGCAACGTGTGTTGCTATGTTTTTCTATTCTCATTTTTTAGACAGCATTATGTATACACGGAGAAAATTTTTTCTTAGAATTTACCCTGAAAATCATGATAATCGTAGGATAATATGAATTTTATAAGAGAATTTTATAAGAGTTTCTCTGATTAATATCTACCACAATAAAATATACTCGATTAATTTTACTATATATATACATAGTAAAATTTACTATCGATTATTATTATTTATTATGGTAAATATTAATCAGAGAAATTCTTATAAAATTTTCCAATATATCCATATTATCCTACGATTACCATGATTTTCAGGGTAAATTCTAAGAGAAAATTCTCTCCGTGCACCGATATTTTAAAATCGAGATGATAAGATTTGCAGAGAATTAAGAAATGTCGAATATCTTAATTTGTATTTTACTTCAGGATTATTAAATTTGATAATTAAATATAGGTGCGCAAAATGTAATTAGGTATATACATATATATAATTAGAAAAATTCTCTTTAATAAAGTAAACACTTCAACTTTGTCAGAAGTTGTCAATATTTCTTTTCATTTAAAAATTACCGAATATCTTAATTTCGTATGCTATTTCGAGATTAAATTTAATAAATATATAAACGCGCAAAAAGTAAGTGATTTGGTATATAAATATATATATATATAATTCGGAAAAACTGCCTTTAATGAGATTGAATGGAACACTTCAACTTTGTCGGAAGTTGCCAATATTCCTCTTCATATGATCAGAGATAAGTTTTCACTTCGTTGGTTGAAAATACAGTGCGCCAAGTTCGCTTCGAGCAAGTTTGCCTTTGAGACGAAGAGTTTTCAATTTCTCTCATATAGATTTCCCGATGAGAGAAATTAAATCGTGTTTTCGTAGCTATTATATCCATAATAATGTTTTACTATAATATTACACAAAATTTTATTTATAAAATTTATTTTCCTCAATTTATTTCGCTTTAGTAATTTATTTTTCTCTAATTTATACACTGAAAAAAATTTAGTTAATTCTTATAAGTATTTATTTCAATACTGCCAAAATAATTTATTTAAAACTAACAATATTTATTTAATATGAAAAATATTTATTTGATATATGTAAGAAAATCCTTTTCAAATAAATGATTTATTTGGCAGTATTGAATGAAATATGTATTAATTTAGTAATTTTTTTTCAGTGTGTATACGAAACAAAAAAATGAAACATAATCAAATCAAAGAGCCAGATAAAATAAGTTGGCGTGAAATACATTCACTTATGTCGGCAAATATTCCTTATATTTCCGCGAGAAACTTTCCCAGCTATATATCTCGGGCCGGGGAAAAAGAATGAGGAACAAAGTGTATACGTAAAAACGGGAGGAGGCATTTCGGAAGCTAAAAAGTGTCCACTTATCGTAGGCGAAGTCGAGCTAGGCAACTGAGCCGGGAATCCCCGGCGAGGGTTGCGAGAGTAGATTTGCATAACTACACCTGATTTACGACGACAGTCCGGACTTACTGTCGCCGGAAGAACAAAAGTTTGTCGCGCACGGGGCTGATATCGCCGCGGCTTCGCGCCTATTTCGCCCCGAAAACGATATCAAGGCGAGGAGTCGCAAACCGGAGTTGGGTCGCGCGCGACATTGTGCGCCTACAGGCCAATTCAAGTTTTCGCGGTTGAAGAGGAACTTCTCTCTCTGCTCTCTCGCGTCGAGAGATATACCCTTTCCCAAGTTTCCTTCTCAGCGCAGGACGACGGGTTCTCGCGAAACACTTGGCAATTATCCGTTAACTCATCGTTCTCGAAGAGACTCTCTCTCGTTGAATCCGGAAATTCGCAGAGTTGGCGGTGCCCAAAGATAAATGAGCGAATGGAATGCAAGGTCGCGCGAGCTAGACGTTAATTGGATTTCGAGCAAAACTCGACTACTCTTTTATCTTTATGACATGTGCAGCGATATCTCGCTCTATCGATTAGAAATGTCGAATAAATTGGGTATTATATCATTTTTAATTTAAATGTGCGCGGAGAGAATTTTCTCTTCAAATTTATCCTGAAAATCATGGCAATCGTGCGACAATATGGTATTCGAAGAATCTTATAAGAGTTTCTTGGAGACGTTAATTGGATTTTGAGCAAAACTCGACTACTCTTTTATCTTTATGACATGTGCAGCGATATCTCGCTCTATCGATTAGAAATGTCGAATAAATTGGGTATTATATCATTTTTAATTTAAATGTGCGCGGAGAGAATTTTCTCTTCAAATTTATCCTGAAAATCATGGCAATCGTGCGACAATATGGTATTCGAAGAATCTTATAAGAGTTTCTTGGAGACGTTAATTGGATTTTGAGCAAAACTCGACTACTCTTTATCTTTATGACATGTGCAGCGATATCTCGCTCTATCGATTAGAAATGTCGAATAAATTGGGTATTATATCATTTTTAATTTAAATGTGCGCGGAGAGAATTTTCTCTTCAAATTTATCCTGAAAATCATGCTAATTGTGCGACAATATGGTATTCGAAAAATCTTATAAGAGTTTCTTTGATTAATATTTATCACAAAAAAATATTAATATGTACATAGTAAAATTTACTAAGAATTTACTATGTACGTATTAATATTTTTATTGTGGTAAATATTAAAAATATTAATACGTACATAGTAAATTCTTAGTAAATTTTACTATGTACATATTAATATTTTTATTGTGGTAAATATTAATCAGAGAAACTCTTATAAAATTTTTCCAATGCCACATTGTTGCACGATTACCATGATTTTCAGGGTAAATTCTAAGAGAAAATTCTCTCTGTATGATTATATAAAATTTATATATAGTATTTAAATAAAAATTATATATAGATAATTTATATATAGAACTTGAATAAAAATTATACATAGAATTTATATATAGAATGTAAATAAAAATTATATATAGAATTAATATATAAAATTTATATAGAGAATTTATATAGAATTTATACATATAGAATCGGTTAACTTTTCAAGCGTACTTCACTTGATGTTTCTGCGTGTGTTTATTTTTTCTTTAATTCTTCTTACGTTTAAACCAATATAAAAAGAATCCGCAGTTTAACCGGTCTTGTGTTTCTTTTCCACTCTTTTCAGATCTAACTCTCTAGGAAAACAAAATATAAACTAAAGTTAAAGTAACTAAACGCTGATAAAACTTACTCAGTGGTAGTTTTAAACATCTCACATACCTACTTAGCTTCTTGTTTTATTTCTTTCTTTATTTGTATTTTTTGTTATATCATCAAAAATTAACAACGATATATTTATTATTATCTTCAGCATCATAGACATCTTTTGTAAAAAAAAAAAAAAAATAATAAATAAATAAATAAATAATAATAATACGACATTTCTGCAAAATCTCTCGTGCAAATAACTTCAATTTAAAATAATCACAGGACAACTTGCTGCTTTAAGAAAAGATTTTTCTCTGATGTCATTAAAGCGTCAGGGAAGGAGAAAGAGCCAATTTATTTCACATTTCTATCTCAATCACTTTCAAAGATTATAAGGATGAAGGGAGCTTTTTTTCCAGATGGTAGACGACGTTCTGCTTGCTTTTATGAAATAATGCGAAATAAAGGTCAGCCTAGCGCGACGATCGTTCATTCTCTACGGTAAATAATCGGGACATTGAAAAGAAGCCGGGATTAGCAATTCAACTGTAATTTCGCGAGATTTTTCGCGCCGCGACGCGACGCCGGGACGATTCGTTCTTCTTTCTGTCTCGTCGAGTACATTTACACCATCGGCAAAGTGGGTACTTATCCAAGTTACAGACTATGACGGGAGAGAAAAAGAAAAGAGAGAAAAAGGAGGCAAAGTAGATAGATAGCTCGAGAGTTTCCGCGAATGAGAGAAAGAAAAAAAAAGAGAAAAACTCAAGCCAAAGCGGAGAGAGAAAAAAGGAACTTGTTGTGACTTCCATAAAAATCCGGAAGCGGTTTCCGAAGAGTTCTAAGAAAAATTTCGTCCGAACTTCGCGCGCGAGATTCCTGTCTTGCTTGAAAGCCTCCCTTTTTCTCCGGTTTAGGACTTTGTCTCCATCGCTTTACTGTGTAGTAATAAATTAACCTCTTTTAGTATTTTTTAATTAAAAGATTTATTTATTTAGAGAGACTCTACGCGGAGAGAATTTTCTCTTGATAATCGTAGGACAATATGGTATTAGAAGAATTTTATATGAATTTTTCTGATTAAAAATACAATATTTACCACAATAAAAAATATTGATATATATATACATATAAATTTTATTAAGTAAAATTAATCGAACATATTTTATATCTTATCGCAGTAGATATTCATATTTTTATTGCGATCACAGAGAAACTTTTATAAAATTTTTCCAATATCACATTGTCTCACGATTACCATAATTTTCAGAATAAATTCTAAAAGGAAATTCTCTCCGTGTCATGTTTATATGAAACGTTTCCGTAGAAATATTACTGATATTTATTCTGACACTTGTATGATGACATAACAAATATAATTTTTAATCGAAAGGCGATTTGACAGACATTTATTAATCAAGAGATTAATTGATTAAGAGAAACTTCAATATTCGTGCGAGATGTTTCCGTAGAAATATTATCGATATTTATTTTAACAGTTGTCTGACAAATATAAATTTAATCGAAAGGCGATTTGACAGACGAACGAGACAAAGGATAATCTGAAAAAAATCGAACATGAACGGGCAAATAATCTTTTTTTTTTTCATGCTACTTTATGTAAAAAAATGTTATCGCGTCATATAATAAATAAATAATATATAAATAAATAATATAAATATATTCGGTTTGTGTATAATATTTTGAAAGTTGATTTTTTCCTTGCGACTTACATCGCGGTATAATAATGTCCCTGTGCGTGACTTTTACGCGCGCAAAAATAAATGGCATATCTCATAATTGAAGTGACTGGAAACTTAAAACAGGCGTGTCGTATACGTGAAAGTTATGACCACTAAACACGACTCTTTCGCCTGTGCAAATGTATAGATGTAACTGATGGGAGGTGCTCGAATAATGTATCTTGTGACCGAGATTTGCAGCGTACAAATAGCAAATGTAACATATATGTTTTTACATATATACTTTTTACGTCATCGTCATATAAGATATATAAACGAGCTATAAATCTCGATAAGCTAATTCGTTAATCTAATTAATTAAGCAACCGTGGGAATATCGCGAAAAGGCTTCAAAGCGATCAGTTCTCTGGAAATGGATCAATCCGCAAAATCTTTGATACACTCCGTTATGTAATCTCTCGTCGGAAATTGATACCTCGTTATGTAATTAGTGACTCTCTGAACAGAGTTTCGCGATTTCGCTCGAAACTCTAATTTACAACAGTATGACGTGAGAATTTCCAGAAACTAATAATTTGTCGGATGCTGTAATCGCTCTTTTCTAACTCACGTGTGCAGCAAAAACCATAGAATTTCAATCCTCGTAAAATTCGTTAATAACTCACCGATATTTTCGACTCCGAGAGCGTTGGCCTTGCTCTCTTTATTCTTGTCGTCTCTGTTACACACATCGCCGGTGTTCTTCCACCATTTATCGTAGAGGATCTGTATTACACCTTTTTCCTGCAGCTCCAGAATAGCTAGAGATATTTTATCCCTCCAGGGCGAGCCTGCATATAAAAAGCCTTCGTTAGGCTGGTCAAGGGTTTCGCAATTTCTGCCTCAGCGACATAATTCCGAACATAAATTTGCCGTTAGATTGTAAATTAAATATACGAGAAATAATGTAAGATAAAATTATATATATAATCAAATTATATAATTAAATATACGGGAAATTTTGTAGAAATTCTTGGAATTTCTTCTGCTTCGGAAGGAACACAGAATTATTTCAGTATAGTATAAGAGTTAAAGTAGCTGCTTTAGGACAGGAACTTTTCTTAAACTTGAATGTATATTCTGCGTCGGCTAATGAAGCTGATTTTTCTTTGGCAGAGATTTAATTAGCCGCCAGCTGTTTTAGGGGAAACTTTTTAACTTTCAATATTAAATGTACGTTGATAACTAATTCTTAAATTAAATGTTTGTGCGAGAGAGGTTACATTGTTGCACTTTTAATCATATTTACCTTTCGGAGTAGCAATTCCGTATCCTTTGCTGTCCAATAAACCTCCAATTTGTGTCAGATTGCAATCACGGTGAACTGCATAATCGAGCATGGTCGATTCCATCAAGAATGCATAGTCACCTTCCAGGACCCTCTTTATGCCTTCTTCATAACTTTGAACGAACACAGACGGAGACTTCGATTCCATGAACCTCCACATTTTCTGATAGATCCCAATTTTCGAGTCCTATTAAATTACACAATATCAATTAACTAATTTCTGTAACGTTTTATATTTCCGATTTTCTGTTCTACATTGTAAGGTTTGATTTAAAAAAATTTAATTAAAAATTTTTAATTTTAAAGTGCATTAAAAGATGAAAAAAAATTGATACCGTATTATAAAGAAGATCGTTGACTTTTTTGAACGTATCAGCTCTACGAAACAGATGTTTTTATTGGATGGACAAAAGTGGTCGTTCTTTGATGTTATCTACCATAAAGTTAAATTCCGAAATTTTTTGCTTATTACAGCGCTTGTTAATTTGCTCGTCTTTTCATAGTATGAAGAATAAACGAGAAGAAGCGGAATTTATAAAAGCGGTTTTTGTTTAACGAATATATAATATATACATAGTTTTTTTGATAAAATATCATGTAGAAGGAGACTCAATACTACGAAAATATTATCGAAAATATAATATATCACAAATGATAACGGATGAGCAGATTTTCAGATATATTTTTTTATCTTATTATTGTTAGTACGAATATATATTAAAAATATATATAATTTTATATATAATTCTTCTTCGTATATGTTCATAACACTGCATTGTCCATTAACGTAGCATTTCCCCTATCAAAATTCATTTCGATATTTATTCATGTAAGTCATACATCGCTTGATGCGATTGCACGATAAAACGAGAATTTAAATGCAAAGAGTGTCCGATAAAAAAATACGATGAAAAATGTTTTCTAAAGAAAAATAAAATATCCAGATATGAAAATAAAATAAATATATATTATCGATTAAATTCCGGGAAACGTGTGATTAAAATATAAAAAATGCAAATTTTTTTCCCACAATCTTGTACTTACTCTGAAAAATGTTTTCGTACTTCCACCCTCTAGAGTACCGTAAGATATATCGGTCTGCTCCGCAAGATCGGCGGCGTTCTCGATTGGTGTTATCATTCTTTCAACCGTCAGAAAGGCCGCCAGATTCGCGGTGTAAGAGGAGATGATAATCAGCGTGAAGAACCACCATATGCCGCCTACTATTCTCGTACTAGTTGCCTGACAACGAGGATTCATTTTCTCTAACTTCATCGCACGATTATCAAATAAACTCGATGAAATAATATCGCATTTCTCACTCGCGGCAATTAATACGAATATATATAAATTGGATAATCATCCGGGAAATAATCTTGATTAATGAGATGAATCAAATGATTCGTAATATTATAATAATTTAATCGTACTTGTTATTCATTTGTATAGGTTTCATTAATGAAAATGTTAATTTATTTATTTTTCGATAGAGATTATTATATATGTATATATAAATAGATCGCGCAAATTCCCGACAAATTTATTCGTTGATTAACAATAATCATCCGTGTAATTCGCTATAATTTTGAAAACGCAACGATTAATTTTCGTATCAATTGCACGCGATTACGAGCGATCCGACAGCGTCAGAGGAATATGTTAAACAGTCCAGTTTTGTTCTGACAACGTGTTATCATTTTAATCCGCGTATATCAATCAAAATCAATCGTCGTGTCGAGAAATCAAATGGTTGTAAACCGCGCGAGAGAGAAACTTCCGGTCGTAAAGTTCCGGTGGAAAAAGGTCTCTCACGCGTGTGAATGTTTTACCGATATAGGGATCCACCTCTTTTATCCCCTTCTGTCGCGAAGGGGAGATCCGTAAGGAGATTGAGGGATCGATCGAAAACGCATCAAGGACGAGTGACGGGGTCGATCCCGATCTGGAAATACCGCGACGAGGAATGCAATACGGGGGATTTCTCTCGTTTAAAATTCGCCGCCGGGATATTTCAACGCATTAACGGCAAGACTCGACGATCTCGCGGAAGCGATCGTCGAATATGGAATGCCGGGTGCGAATGGGTTCTCTCTTTCTCTCCCTATCTCTCTCTCATTCTCGCGTCAGACGGCGAATCCTCTCTCTATTCGGCAGTTTTGTGTTAAACGATTTTAATTCACTACTCTCGCGCCGTAATATTACGCGAAAGAGTATTCTCGCCCTTCGGTGTGCAATCCGAATGCATTCTGGATGCGTATAATGAATATGCTTAATTTTCATTCCGACAAAATATATGTATAATATATGTAATATATATATATTTAATATATTATATAAATTATATATTATTTTATTATACATATATTTTTAATTATATATTTATATTATTATATAATTATATAATATACATATAATTATATAATTATATATTTATATTATTATATTTTTAATTATAAATATAATATTTATTACATTTTACAATATATTATAATATATAATATATAATATACAATATATTATAATATACATATAATATATAATATATTATAATATACAATATATTATAATATAATATATAATATATTATAATATATAATATATTAATATATTTATATATATTATATATATATAATATAATATATATATATATAATATATTATATTATATAATATATTATATATATATATATATATATTAATACATACATACGTATTATATATTATAAATTTATTATATTATGTATCCTGTTAAATATATATTTTGCGTGGGACAACCCCTTTTACTTATTATTATTGTTATTATTATTTCTGGTATCGAGATAAGAAATTTTCCGCGCGCGTATACGGAGAAATTGATGACAAAAAGGGACATGCGCGCTATTATATATTTGCAATATTACACATTCCGCTCTATATATTCAACAGCGACTCGTGATGCGCCTGGTTTGACGTCAAATACAATTTGCTAACACTCGAGACAGTGTCGCGACGACAACCCCGCATGTACACACGTGCCACCAGAGTCAAATTAGCATTGCATGGTGTGCAGATACCATAAATATTTATATGTTTCCACATGACATTATATTCTCCAGCTTATTTCTAATTTTTTTTTCCTACGACATTTCTAAGGAACGAATAGTTGCAACGTTTTATATCGAACAAACTGATATCTATATTTTTCTTACCTTCACAAACACATAATATATGTAATTATATAACGAGGAATTGATTTAGCAAGAAATCGGTGAACTCTATTCGTGAAATTTAAATTATAAACGATACAAGTCGAGTGATATTATGCAATATTGTGACATATCATTTCTTTATACATTTATCATGTATAAATACTTTTTGTTCATATTTTTTTTCCGAAAAATAGGTATCACAAGATATTCGTGTATAATTATTAGTTTGAAAACGAAAACGAAAAAACACCGTGTTCCAGAGTACATATCTCGTGATTTATAAGTTCAGACGAGTTGACTTCATGTCCCGATGATTTAGTAACGTGATAAACGAGCACGCTGACCAAATAATGTCGAAATTATTGTTCACATCAAAGTTGATGTTATTTTTTTCATCATATGTACATACATATATATATTTCGTACGCTTTTGCGTATTTATTATATTCTAATCCACATAGAATTAAATAATTTTATCCAAATATAATTTAAATAAAAACAATTATGAAAATTCCACGTATATAAGTACATAATGTAGACAATTGTTTGATTCAATTCAATTGACTATTGTATAAAACTCTGTTTCTATAAAACTCTGATATTCATCTAAATTTTAGATGATGTATGTCGAGTGATATTGAATATGCAATATTGTGAGATATACATAGTTTGTGCTAGTAATTGTGCTCTCTCTCTCTCTCTCTCTCTCTCTCTCTCTCTCTCTCTTTCTCTCGTATTACACACTCCCAATATATGTAGTAATATAGAAACGGATAGGAAACTAAAGGTATGTATGGAAATTTGTGAGCATTCTCATACGAGCGGCGTACCGAGGATATGCAATTGTTTTCCTATATGTATATGTATGCTTAGGTTCAACAAAATCCTCATTTTACTATATTATTGGCATTGTTCGGAAAATAACGCATTTGAAATTATTCGAGTAGTGTGGCAAAACCACACGAATTTCTGTGTTCTGAATACGCTGCTGCATTTTCGGAACGTGTTCCAAGGCAGCAAAATTAATGTTCAATATCGAGCACCTTAATATGAAGTGTCTTTTCTCTACGTTTTTAATACACTGAAAAAATTTAGTTAATTCTTATAAGTATTTATTTCAGTACTGTCAAATAAATCATTTATTTGAAACTATAATAATAATATTTATTTGATATAAGAAAATTCTTTTCAAAACAAATCAATATTTATTTGTTTCAAATAAATGATTCATTTGACAGTATTGAACTAAATATTTGTAAATAATTTAACAAATTTTTTTTTTGATTTCGATAAAAAAGTAGCAAGTTAAAACGTACTTTATAATACAATTTTTTATATATTTTTTTAGATATTAAATACCTTGTCATATTTTACGTAACAACAAGAAAACATTACGACGAGGATTATAAAATATCCGAAGTATTCTTTCTCCCTTCTAGTTCTAGTTTTTCATCGACATTCTTCCTTTCTTTCTTCCTTTCCTTCTTGCGTGACGTGAAGTATGAGGCAAGAAGTTTGGAAAACACTGTTCGATATATACTACAATCCCTTCGGAAGAACATCCGCAGCAGCGTAAAAGCGGAGAAATCGAGCGTCGAGAGTTTACTACCCGTGCATTTACGCGAAGTTACTTTCACACCGCGCTTCTTGCATACAAAGTTCATCGTCCATTAATCCATTGTATAGGCGCCGAACTAAAAAAGGTAAAATCCGAACGAAAAGGATTGATGGATTATTTTCATATCGTGTGCATACGATGTTAAAAATACAAGGGTTGTGCAATCCCCGAAGGCGTACACCTTTATCGTATGTAAACTCTATGATAAAATAATCTCGTATTCTCAACATAAAACAAGCTGGTAGAAAATATAATGATATGAAAACATATCTGTAATATGAGTTCATTTTACATATGATCATTAAAATTTTAAATTAATAAAATATTGCCGTAACGAAATATTAATATATATATATATATATATACAGGAGAAATTAAATTAACTTGTATGCGCATGCAGGGTTGACAAGCATTTTCCCGCCTTTTCTTGATGACAAGAGTGCAAAGCTTGATTCGTTTGTACAAAATTAACGAATTATTATTTAGCCCGGCAAACGCAAATTTTTTTATATAATAAAAATGTGTCACGGGAAGAGCAAAATAAGGTTTCGAGAATAAAGCTATATGTGTAAGCTCCATTTCTTTTTTTCTCAATTTTTATAAGTACGGTACACAAGAGGAGAAAAAGATATTGCGCGAATAATAACGGACAACTCTTTTCACTCTGAATGCCCCTATTGTTGTTGCCATCTCAGTTTATACTCCTAGCGACTCTTCTCGCAAGATTGACGGAAGTCAATACAATATTGCGCGTATTATTCGACAACTGAAAGCCAATTGCGCACTATTCTGTACCGTGCGTTTTTCATCGTCTTATTCCATCTATTGTATTACACGAACCGGCGTCCGTATAAATAAAAATCGATCCGAATGTCGGAGGAATAATAATTTCATGGAAAAAATATATAGTGAGAGAGTGCGAAGAACCTATATATTGTTTCTCTCTGTACCAGAAAAAAATTACAATCCGTCATTTTTTTTATCATTGTGGAGGGAATTAAATTTTTTCTTTTGCTGTATAAATATTTTTCCTTCAAGTCTTATATACACGTACGCTACATTTTAATTTTTAAAATATTTGCGCAGTTAATATCCTTTTATTTTACCGTCTTGTAAAGCTATATTAACGCAAATTTATTACAAATTCTGCAAACGTTGCATATATACATACATATATAAAGTTCTTTTAAATTTTATAAATTCACGTTATTTATTCATCTTCTCATATGATGATTATGCACGGTGTACTTATATATATGTGCTCTCTCTCTTCTGGCCATTATATGACATTTATTTACTTTCCGTCTTGGAATATAAAATTCGTTGAATTTCACGTTGCACGCAAGTGAATAAAATTATGTAAAAAATATGTAACTGAGATTTGTGACATTTTATACGTGGTTGGTGAAAAATGCAGCAATACAGTTATGCTGCTAACTTAATTTGTTTCGTGTTATTATTCTACAAAGCATATTATTACACAATAATGTTTTTCAGAAGCAAAGGTAAATTTTTTTTGTTACACGAAGATATGTATAAAAATATATTTTTTTTTTCGTTCTCTTCCTTTACGCAATATGATAAAATTAAGAGAGATATTTAAATTTAATGTAATAATTTTGTCACACAGAGGGGGAAAATAGATAAAAGCGTTAAAGGTCTCGTATTTATATTAGATTTTTTGATATATATATATATATATATAATTGTCCGATCGATTGTCATATCTTTCATTTTTTGCAAAGGTATAATAGTCTGAGATATCGTGGCTAATAAAGTTTCTTTTTCTACTTCTTTTTCTCCTATTGCTTTTCACACGTGGTCGAACAGAGAGTGAGTAATTTCTAAAGCATATATATATATATATATATATATATATATATATATGCTCGCTATTAAAAGAGTGGAAAACTGTTTCGTGCAAAAATGGTCTTTTGGATGGCGTGAATGTGGACGCTAATAAAAGGAATAACAGACCAATATAAAGGAAGGATTTTGCGTCGTAATTATTTCTCGAATAAATCTAGGGATCAGTTTCTCTCTTTGACGTGCTGACGCTATTGGAAATGAATTCAAGAAAGGAAAAGAAAGAAAGTTATACAAACCACGGCGAACAATGATCATTCATACTGTTTCTCGGAGTGTTTGAATTGTTGAATTATTGACATAGGAAGCAGGAGGAAGACAAGAGAGGGCATTTGCGCTCTTATTATTGAATATCAAAATTTTATTTATCAAAATTTATTATTGAATATCAAGAATAATTCAACAAGTTCGTAATTCCATATTATTATTATTATTATTACGTAAATTATTACATTTACGTAATAATAATAAAAAATTCTATTAAGAATAATTATATTCTTAATTTCAATAATAATTCAACAGAGTTCGTATAATTTTATAAAATTATATAATAATTTTATAAAATTACGTAATATTTATATAATAGTTAAATTATTATATAATTTTATAAAATTACGAACTTGTTGTAAATTATTATTGAAACTAAGAATATAATTATTCTTAATAGACATTTTTATCTATCATTCTGTGAAACATTTATAGCGAATAATAAAATCCGCTAACGAATGCAACTTATTGCGCGCTTTCTCTCTCTCTCTTTCTCCCATAAAAAGAAAATTTCCATCAAAAGATGTCGTAAAAACTGGAGGATCGACATTTTAATGCATGTATGTATAAGGAGAAGTATAGGATATTGCGACGCGCAGAAATGGCTCGTTTCATTTTACGCTTTGATCAAAATTTGATTGAGCCGCGCGAGGCTAAAGTGATTTCTCTGGATCTGCTAACACGTTGCTGCTTAAACGAGTATTTTGCTGTCGTAAAATCTTTAAGGAGAAGCCGAAATCTTATATCTGGACGTAAATTACGCGACGCGCGCTTCTCCTTTAATTAACGCCGTAAAGGCATTTATGAAAGTTGATATTTGATGCGAGTGTATTTATTCGGTTATTTCAAACAAGTCCGACAAATCTCCTCGAGAGTCGCACACTTCGTTAAGAATAAATTTAAAAAAATTTTTTCTCAGAGCTCTTTGACTCTCTCTCTCTCTCTCTCTCTCTCTCTCTCACACTCTTTCTCTTTTTTGTGGTGGCACGTTTACCTTAGGGTTGAGGTCGCTGCCTTGTTGCATAAGTGTGCCGACCGTAAACCAAAAGCTGTTGGCCAGGCTGAACTCGTTGACAGTTCTCAGCAGCGGAATGTCGTCACTATCCGGATCCAAGGCGCTCACGTGACCACCCTGATGACAGTGCGATAATGGCAGCCCCGCCAAGTGATATAGATTCGAGAATGATGATATTATTTTAATTTATGTGCACAGTATTTTTTATACAGAATCGCGCGTGAATGTTCAATCGCGAGGAATGAAAAATTGCAAATGCGAATTATTTTTAAATTTTTTACGTATACATTTTCTCTAAAAGAAGGAACATATAATATTTTTCACCGTTTAATGAATTTACTCTCTCGTGAATGAAGAGCGCGCCGCGTTAAAAGTAGATTATCGCAGAATTTGTTAATTGGCCGTTCTTTGTTCATCGGTTAATATACCTACATTTTTTTGTAATACATGTTAGCACGAAAATGAATGAGGAAATTGCGTATACTCTCTTTTTTAATTAAAAATAAAATTATATTAAAAAATATTATTTAATACTTGATCACGTCTCAGCGCTGCAGGAGAGATTTTCATTGAAAAATCGATCGTTTCGTACCACTTGGCAGGTGCCTACCTGCAAGGGGCAATTGCAACTTGGGCAGGGTGACGGCTCCACCCATTCGTAGGGCGAGAATCTTGCCACTATCCATATCGTCAGGGAAACCATCACGTAAGCGCCCAGCAGGGACAACCAGATCTCCACGGCGAGAGGATTCATAAACGAGAAGAGGCGCGACGGCGTGCGTTTGGTCACCTGAAGCAATGACATATTTGTTTCGACGTTACTGACACGTGGGGAATTGGTGACCGATTAAGAGCCCGATTTCTAGATTTTCACGATGTTCTATCGTCGCGTTCCGGATTCCCTGCTGAAAAATAGTAATTTCGCAGGAAGACGCGGATGGTTTATAACTCCACCGCCGCACTTTTATTTTCCTCCGCAATATCCAGTCTCTCGAATGGCTCGAAAAGACGATTCTTTATTTCGATGGAGTTATGAGGAAGCGTATTATTCTCTCCGGCGTTTATTCTCGGCCGAAACACAATGGTGCAAACTCCGAATTGCGGCTGCGTGCTGCTTTATTTTTAATGAGGAATCGCTAACGTGAGAGAGGTAATTGAGCTTGAATTTTAAAACGCAACAATACAGCTGTAACGTAACTCTAACAAGTGACGAAGGAGAATTTTAAGCGATATATAATTAAAAATATATTTTTAAAATTTAATGCGTCTAAAGTTCATCAAAAATTATTATTCCAGATCATCTTTCTCATGTCTCTAGTTTTCTGTAATATTGCGTCTATAATTTATTGATAAGAAAGATGATTTTTCTGCAATAATACAAATTATGCACACATTAACACGTTTCTGCAGTTAAAAAAAAAATAATAGAGTAATATATTATAAAAAAAATTATTATTACAAAATTAAAAATTATTATTCTAGATGTGTCTGATCATCTTTCTCATACCTCTAGCTTTCCGTAATATTGCGTCTATAATTTATTGATAAGAAAGATGATTTTTCTGCAATAATACAAATTATGCACACATTAACACGTTTCTGCAGTTAAAAAAAAAATAATAGAGTAATATATTATAAAAAAAAATTATTATTACAAAATTAAAAATTATTATTCTAGATGTGTCTGATCATCTTTCTCATACCTCTAGCTTTCCGTAATATTTCGTCTATAATTTATTGATAAGAAAAATACTTTTTCTACAATAATGCAAATTATGCACACGCGTTAATGAGTTTCTGCAGTAAAAAAAAGAGTATAATATCCTAAAAAAAAATGATTATTACGAAATTAAAAATTATTGTTGCAAAATTAAAAATTATTATTCCAGCTGTGTCTGATGATCTTTCTCACAGTTGTAGTTTTCTGTAATATTGCAAATACATGTTTCCGCAACATAAGCAGATTTAAACGAATCAACGAGCGCCTTGTAAACACACATGTGCTGTTTGCGCTCCGGCGAGATGATGGATTTATGTACGCGCGCTGCCTCGTGAATAAGATTCGCATACCTATATGTATACGCGAGCGAGAAGGAGGAACGAACGAGGGTGAGATGTCGGAGAGATGAGAGACATGTCCCGGCGGTGCAGTTTCAAGGTTTACGCGCGGTAAAAAAAAAGTATGTACGTAGTCCAATGTGGCGGAGCACCTCGTCGAGTGTACCTTGGGGTTGAGCCCGCTGCCCTGCCTCAGGAAGGTGCCGGTGATGAACCAGAAACTGTTGCTGACGCTAAACTGGTTCTCGACCACGTCGCTCTCGGCCAGACACGGATGCGGATTGTTCCACTCGTACGGGCTGAATCGAGCCATCACGAAGAGGGTGAAGCTCACGAGCATGTAGGCGGCGAGGACGTAGAGCCAGATCTCGACCGCGAGCGGATTCATGAAGGAGAAGAGCCGCGTCGGCTGACTCGACGGCACCTAAATTATGTCACGCTACGATTTTAATTAAAACGGATCCCCCGTCTCGTGACGCGACGCGCCACGAAACAATTAGCTTTCGATTTGCTGGGCTTTCGATTCACGGCATTCAAAGAGTCTCTCTTTGTGAGAGTTCGACGATTTGCGACAAAAGCGAGAATTCAGAAAGGCGGATTATTATTTGATAAATTAATTTTTTTTTTTTTTTTTTACGTTTTATCGTATGAGTACACCTTGCATATATATATATATATATATACAAGATGGTTCTAATTAACAATACGACAAATTTTAGAAGATTCTTTGATTCTTTTGTCGGAAATTCAGGAGAATCTTTTGTATAAATATATATTTCTATATCTCTTACCGAGAAATTACCTTTCTCTAAAAAGGAAATTAGGTTTTTATTAAGTTTAAAAATGTTTCATTTTTGTTCAACATTTATTATAATTTTCTTCTGCTTTTGCTCTTTTTATTTTAAAATTCACCTTTTCGCGACTCAAAACTTAAGTCATTTAGCACCATGCTGTGCATCGTAGTGTATTTTAATTTTTTTTCTTGAAAATTATTAATATTAAATAAAAAATAAAAGTAAATTTCTAAAGACATCAAGCTTTCCAACATATTTTTAAATGCTCACATTTTGCCCCATTAAAAAGTTCTAATAAATATTCTTAATAAATATCCTTTTTAGTGGAAAATGTTCAAATTTTATTTTTTAATTTGTCCAAAATTTAAAAAAAGGATTTTATTTTTATCTTTTCTTTTGAAAGAATATAATTCCTCAGGAAGGATATAAGAATATATTCATATGAAATCCCCTTTAATTTTCAAAAAAGAATCATCTTTTAAAATTGTTAACATTTATTTAAAATTATTTAATGTGATATATAGACAATCGCGAAACAATTAATACATCTGTTTACGTTTTACATTATTCAATTCACCCTGTTGCGATAATGGCTCGCACATATGGACATCGCTTTCATCAACTGACTAATACATGTGTAACTTGAAATAAACACGTTGGAGGTAAACATCTATATTACAATGAATGAACAATATAAGTTATACATAGCATGCACAGATATTATCGTAAGAAAAATTTAATTAATAAGGTATTAAAACTCACCTTAAATAAGATTCCAATTCCGAGATTCATAAACGGCTTTGTGAAGTCTATTACGCTTTCCCTGGCATAATTAATCGTCATGGAGGCAACCGCTAGATCCGCTCTCTGGAAAAAAGGCATAGCATTCGAGGAAGTTGAAGAACTTTAATTTTCTTGACGAAATTGAAACCCGTACAAAAATAAGAACGCTTATGACATATAAGAAGAAGCGGTAAAAAGTAGTTCTGTTTTACCGACCTTAAGTTAGGTTAGGTTCACTTTTTATTGAATACACAGATTGAATAATCCTCCGAATCTTTTAATACGGGCTTTTAATCTCATTTTTATTACTTCTGTATTATTCTTTCATGTCATCTCTATTGGGAGCGCTATATTTTGTGCACAAATAAACTGCAAAACTTTTGTATTAAATAAGTATTGTTACGAGCTGATGCAAGAGGCCGTTATAAACTGTAATTTTTTAACTTTTATTGTTTTTTTATAGGAAATTACAGCGCACTCCGTTCATTATTATCAGTACTTTAATTATGGAAAAGAATTTTTCAATCTGTATAGCCAATAAAAAGAAAAGCCCTTGGACTCAAAGTCGATAAAGCAGTCATGGTCAGCATCCCCTTAATCAAGATATATTGTAATCAAGATATATGTGCGCCTGATAAATGAATCTTATGACTCGCGCTGATAAACGCGAATGGAAGCGCGAGAGTCACAAAATTACTGATAAATTCTAGTCCCGTGTTCTCGCACGGTAAAGTTTACCTTGCGAGATGGTGGATGCATTCTTTATAAACGGGTGAACGTCACAGGTTATGAAGCATCGTTCGCGTCATTCTACGTTTTGAAATATCCGCCTATGGTTTCCTGGGTTTCCAGGTTAAAGCGTCATCCCCCTTTCACAAGGAGCAGATTGCTCTGCATGTTTTATAAACCGCTGATCTTCGGTATTCAACGAAAGAGACGCCGGAAAGAGAGACGAGTCGCGAATTTTGCAAAGTGCGCGCAATTTTTTTTTAGTCGTTTCCTTTCTCGCGTTTCGAATTAACGTCAGCAGTGGATCTTCTTTTATCTGACACATGTATGAGTACACGTATGAGCATTTTTAAAATAAATTCTGAGCTAATCAGCTTTATATGAGTACGAGATGTGATAAAAATTGCTGGACTGGTTTCCTAGAAACATGTAATAGGGATTCGGCTCTCTGTCGAAATATTATTTAACATCCTTCCTCTTGACAGAAGACGAAATAGTTTATACCTTTTTAGTAAATGAAGTAACACGTGTTCTCGCTGTTTATTTCACTCTTGCTTAAAATGTCAGAAGAAAAAGAGCAGCGCGTATATTAATTTTGTGTTAAACATAACTTATTAAAAAATGCTGCGGAAACTCTTTGAAATGTTGAAAGTAGCTTATGGGGAAAATTCTTTAAGCCGTTTTTGGATGTCTAAACAATTCGAAGAAGGCAGAGAATCGATCGATGACTACACAATTCATCAAAGAGTACAAATAATTTAGTCGCTGTGAACTAATTAATTCGTGAAAATAGATCATGACAATGCAAGAAATCAACAAAGCAATTGAGAGACGTTGTTTGACGTAAGAAATAGAGAACTGCATTTCGTGTTTTGTGACAAAACACAGCATCCCTGTGATTTAACAATCATCGTATTTACCTGATCTGGCTTCTTATGTTTTTTGACTTTTTCTTCAAATGAAGAAATAGTGCTGCGAAAGGAAAGAGATTTGATGACATCGAGCAATTAAGAGCATTTCGAAAAATTTGTACAAAATATTTTGAACAATGACAAAAGTGCATAGATACAGAAGAGTACTTTGAAGGGGATTAAATGTTTGCATTAATAACCAATCAAGTTTATTAATAACCGCTCCGAATATTTTTTCATCACACTTCGTACATCAATGGTGTTTATTCTCATTCAATATATACATATATATATGTATATTACTCTTTTATATTAGCTTTCGTGAAAATTAAAAATATATAAATTGCCGACTCGTTGACTGTACAACAATAATGTTGCAACAACAATATTATCGTGCTATTATGAAATATTACACGATAATTTCAATAACTCAATACTGTGTAAATATTGAAAGATTTTTGATTTGCTAAACAGAATATATATATTTTTGATTTGCTAAACAGAATATATAGATTTTTGATTTGCTAAACAGAATATATATATTTTTTATTATTGTATCGTATATATAATGTCGTGGATAATAAACTGTTGCATTCGCAAAATATTGTAGTTCAATAAAAAAAGCCGAGTAGTTTATATATTGCATATATATCGCGAACGATAGAATGGGCGATGAAAATGTTAAGAGCTTTTAACAATTCTATAAATGTATACGTAATATATTATTATACGTGGTATATTATTTGTTTTGACAAAAAAATACTTGAATTATTTATCGAATGTAGGCAGAAGCTTTATCATAGATACATAGATAGATAGATAGACAGAGAGAAAGAGAGAGAGAGAGAGAGAGAGAGAGAGAGAGAGAGAGAGAGAGAGAGAGAGAGAGAGAGAGAGAGAGAGAGAGAGACACGTGTCGGGTCAATTCGAGCATATAAGCGTCAATCACACATGTAACATATGTGTATGATACAATCAAGCAGAGAACGTACTAAAAAAGAGAAATGTACTTCCAAAAACAGTGGAACATTTTTCGATTATTGTCTACATCCATTTGCTTTGCTTCAATGATTAAAATGTTACTACTGCAGATATCAATTTTTCAGCTGGCCACTAATGGAGTCTCTTTTTAATTCAATATCACATTGTATCTATGCACCTATATATTAACGCATGAATCGTCAGAGAAAGTCCGCGTTAGCGTATTTTCAATATCACAAAGCTCCATGTATAGTATCTTCCACAATATACCGTATATTTTAGTTATAAACAATTGCATGGCAGCGATCTGTCACAAATAAAAATGTTATTTAAATATTTTGCGCTTTAGTCATACAAAAAAATCTGCACAGATCTGTCAAAAGGATTCTCTTAATTTAAGAGAAAATTCTCTAAAGAAATATTCTTTAATTAGATATTCGTAACATGCAAGAATATAAACTTAATGTTTTTATCAGTATATTACTTGAAATAATCGTGATGGCAAAAATAAAATTTGTCATAAATAAAAATGTTATTTAAATATTTTACGGTTTGTTCATACAAAAAAATCTGCACAGACCTGTCAAAACAATCCTCTTAATTTAATAGAAAAATTCTCTAAAGAAATACTCTCCAATTAGATATTCGTAACATGCAATAATATAAACTTAATAGGATGTTTTTTATTCAGTATATTATTTAAAATATTATTAATCGTGATAACAAAAACCAGTCTTATAAATGGACATTTCTTATTTATTGCATACAGTAACATAATTTTTTTCAGTGTAAAATGTAAGGTGCTTCCAAACTTGTGGAGGGTACTGTCCATATATATAATATTATATATCTTTTTTTCCGCGTTTGATTCTGTGTAAGTGATACATTTTTACGCAGTGATATTGAACGGCGCGCGATTTTATCGCGAGTGCAATCTGGTTTTTGCACGCCTATGTCTCTCCATAGCAAAAATCCAATAAGAATCCATTCCCTTTTCACAAGTTCCCTCTGTCCTGGCGCATTAACGTTCGGCTGTAACATTTTTCCATTTTTCGTTCGCGAAGGGATGCGCGCACACGTATCTTTCTCTCCCTTTGCCGGCGCGTAACGACCGCGCGGAATACGATCGCGGGGAAACACAATGCGGAATAGAGAACTTCTTTTCCGGTAACGGAAAGACAACATTTACCTTCCTCCGGGATACAATCGTGAAAAAGTTAAAGCTATAATAAAAGCTTGGAAAAAGAATTTTTCATGTTGAAAAAACATCCAAAGATTTTCGAGATATCGAATTTCCTCCTGTTTTCATGATTATTACTTTGTTTCGGTCGCTAATAGAAAATTATTAAATGAAAATTATAAAGTTACAAAATTGAGCATTTTTAGGATAAAGCATTGTTTCGCAAATTATGACATTTTATTTGCGAGTTCGTATCGTTTTGAAGTTTTTGCCTCATTTATTTTGAATAAAATATTTCTGTGATATTATTTTTCATAAAATATTCTCTCATAATTAAAAATAAAATATGTACAAATATAATTTTGAATGCTAAAATTTTGTCATTAACTTCGTCAAATGTGTGTACAGTTGAAAAATAATTTTTTACATTGAAAAAACATTTAAAAATTTTTGACTCCAAATTTCCTTCTATTTTCATTACTCTGTTTGGCTAAGAAATTTTAATGCAAAGATGATAATATTTTATGAGACACGATATTGCTTCGAATTATATAATATTTTATTAACTTACATCACATTTTAACGTTTTCGCTTAATTATCTCACTTTATCATAAATTGGATTATATAAAATAATTCTGTTAATAATATTCAATGCTTAAAAGAATACTTTTTAATTTTTATCAAACATTCTATTAAATATAATTCTTTCTAATAATTAAAAATGAAATGTACAACTGCTGAAATTTCGATCCATCGTTAATTTAATTATAAGAGCCGCGCGCCCGATTTAACAATTGTAATGTTGCAATGATTCACCGTGGTTTTTCAATTTGTAAGAGAAATTATGCGAACATCGCGTCTACTCGATCATGCAGACAATAATGGATCGGCGACGCAAATTAAATCTGAAAGACGCTCGGATGCGCATACATCAAACTTTGATTTTAATAACCGCGCGATTTTACAATTCAAATAACAGGGGAGGAGTGGAAGAGGCAACATCTGCGGTTTGATCTATGAATTGAAATATCGAATACTCTCGTCCTGTCATGGAAGAAACAGTTAATCTAGGTAATTCTTGTATTCGACTACAGACGTAATGAAATTCCTGGCGGGATGGATTTATTGCGAAACGTCCGCGAACGCCCGCGGAAATTTACTTTACTGCACACGTAAAATCGACCCTTTGGGTCGCATTTTCCCCACTTTCACCCTCCTCGATATGTTTCTCCTGATACATTATTGCCGTTGTAATTCCCCCAACAGCATTAACCCCTTAGGCTACAAATTAATTTTGACAACAAGGTATAAATATGTTGCCTTTATTTTCACATTTTCAGTGTTGGCTAACATAATCATCGATTTCTCTGTCATATAGAATATTTTGTAATAAATTTGGGCAATGCGTTTATAGTTATGATCATTAAATAATAATTATATAATATGTTAGAGTCGATTATTAAATGATTATTAAATAATTATATTTGTATATAATTAAATGTCAAAGTCGATTATTAAGTGATTATTAAATGATTATTAAATGTTAAATCAAATAATTTTATTAAAACATTTTTTTTATATTTTTAATTATTTAAAATGTTTTATCATTTGATGATTATTTAAATATTTTACAATTTTATTTTATTAAAATTTTTTTAATAAAATAAAAATTAAGAAATTTCTCCGATTTTTATAATATAGCACACTGTAAAAAATTTTGTAAAATTACATTAAAGGTAAACATTTTTATTATTTATCGTGTAATTTTACACTTATTATTTATGTAATTTTACATATTTTTGTGTAATATATTACATATTTTTTTTACAGTGCAGTTAAAAATTCTGCCCAGAAATTTCGTTATTTCTCAGCTCGTGTTTTATTTGATCTTTCGGGGTATTGAATTATCCGCAAATGGTTGCCGGGAGAAGGAAACAGGATTTACGTAAACGATCTTACCTTCTCCATGAGCTCGCGCACGATGCCGTTCCACTCCTTCGTCTCAGGATCGTACACCCCGTACATGTGATCGGGCACCATTTTGATCGCGTATTGAAAACCGACCTGGCCGGCAATCCACTTGAGCAGATCGATGCAGAAGCCCTCGAATCGCGCGTTGCCAGTCAAATTCTTGTCTTCCTTCACCATGACGTAGGGTCTTTCCTGCAGAAGATTGGATCGTATTGATAGATCGTAGAATCGTGTTCATCGTGACAGTGGCATTGCAGGGGGCAATCTTTAAAAGCCCTTATTTCCGCGCGAGAAAGCCGTATCAAAGGGTGGGGATGAGAAAGCCGACGTTCAATGCGAATATATGGCATTCTGATCTTGTTCCTCAAACATTTCTTTTTCCGAACGCCAACCATGAATTTTTCATTTTCCCCAGAATACATACGATGACCGATAAAACGTTCCCTTCAATAACTAGGCTCCCTTTTTGATATGACAGCCTGCTCTCTCTACGCTTTAACATCTAAATACGCTTAAATCCCGCTCTTATTTCTTTTAGAAACTGGTCAAATTTTGTTTATTCAATTATTTATTCGTTTATTTGATTTATCACAACAGAATCAGGGTGCCTAGCGGTCAGGGAAATCTGGAAAACCGGGCATGTCAGGGAATTTTATAAATCTGGAATTGTCAGGGAAAAGTCGGGAAATTTTACTATTTATCGGGATTTTTTCATATTCTTTATTGGTATCGATAATTGAATTTTTTTATTAAATAAATATAAACTCTTTCTCGACTACCAGCACGCTAATGTAAGAATTAATTAAATTTTTTTAGTGCAGGCATTGTCAGGGAATTTTATAAATCTGGTGGAATTGTCAGGAAAAAGTCAGGAAATTTTACTATATATCTGGATTTTTTGTACAATGCATTTGTCTCAATTTTTTATTAAATAAGTATAAATTTTTCCCAGCACGCTAATTTTCTATGTTAAAAATCGATTCATCTACAACGTGTTTGTTAATTTATTTTCATCGTCGTGTTATTTTATTTCAATGTGTTTGATAGAGACGAAACTAAAAAATTTGATATAATATAAATAAAAAAAATGATTATTTAAATAGTTTATAGTGACATGTTTGTTTTGATTATGCAGATTGTATAATTGTGTGATTTAAATTTTTGTTTCTTAACTTTCAACCTTTTCATTGTTGACAAAAATATTTCAAGGATTTCATGATTTAACATTTATAATTGATTTATCATATAGATATAAAATTATGTATTTGGAAAAAATAATACTAAAAAGTTAGGGAAAAAATTAATTTCTGGTCTTGAAAAATCTGAAAAAATCAGAGAATTTTTTTTCATTGAGCACACAGAAAAATACATATATATATATATATATATATATATATATATATATATATATCCGCAAATATATAAGTTCATCATAAGCATCAAATTTATTCAAAATGTGTTTTTAATGCTAATAAGTTTGATATACTTTAATGAAAAATATTAAATTAAAACAAATATTCTATTTGTTTTTTTATCTGACTTCTTTGATAAAAGTTTATAATATTCTTAAAAAGAAAATAATTTCTTCTTTTGAAAATATGATAATGAGTATTTCTAATATTTGTGATGAGTTTACCTTAAGTCTATTAGAAAGAAAATATTTTTTGTTAAATCTAATTGTTACTTAAAATAAGGGAAGTAAAATGAATAATTAGTTTTCTTAGCAATAGAATGATATTTTTCCGTGTGAGTCTGCTGAACACTCTGAGGATACAATTAATTACAATTTTTAGTACCTTCTATTTAGCGAATACTCATTTTTCTTATCAATATTTAATACGCAAATAATCGAAATAATTGAACACGCTTTTATATACACGTTTTATACGAGTCGCTGAGAAATCATCTCGAAAATACTTGCTCAAACTGTTTACTCTCTGGCTTAAATGTGAATATCTCATCTCCGCGCGGCATAACAAATTTATCCAGGCCCGTTTAAAGCAGCTTTCATATCACCACGTAATCAATGTTCGCGCAATATCCTGCCTAATGATTAATTTGAACGTGCATGTGGGTCACAAACGCGGCTAATTTGGGTACAAGGTGTCATTACCTCTCTCGTCATTACTACGAGAGTAATATTCGTCGCTGTGGTCTCGTAAAAGGCGTCCAGATCCGTAACATTAATACCGGACCCGGATTTCCATTCGCCGACTTTAACGAGCTCCTCCTTCTTCAGTTTCAAAAGGTCTAGTTTGAAGTTGGTTCGCTTCCCTTCATTGAATTCGATATGTCCGGTTAATCCGTGTAAGCCTGCCTGCAACAGAAATACCTCGCATAAACCTATAAAAAAATGATTGCCCCTTCAAACGCGATTATATATGTACAGAGTGTCTCGTTAAAAAATGCTGAAGCTAATCAGCTGTTATTTTTCAATGCATGCAGTTTTGGCGAAAACAAAAATTGGATTGAAAAGAGGAAGGTCTACAATTTTTAATGGATATAAATAAAATGTTTGTATACCAGTTTATTTTATTGAAAAAAAGTAATGAAAAAAGTGCTAATAATCACATATAATTGCGTGCATTAAAAAATGACAGCTGATTAGTTATTGCATGCAGTTTTGGTGAAAACAAAAATTGGATTGAAAAGAGGAAGGTCTACAATTTTTAATGGATATAAATAAAATGTTTGTATACCAGTTTATTTTATTGAAAAAAAAGTAATGAAAAAAGTGCTAATAATCACATATAATTGCGTGCATTAAAAAATAACAGCTGATTAGTTATTCAGCAATTTTCTATGGGACACTCTGTATAAATAATATAGCGATATTTTTCGCGTCTCGCGCGTTATAAATTTATTAATTATTGATACACTGTACACGAGTAAATGCAAGCTCTCCCTGATAAAATGCATGCTACAGTGAACATTGCTTTCATGAAAATGCATGTAGCTCAGCTGTATAATTCTTGCCGAAGCTGTATATCTTTGCTATTTAAATATAGGTACATAGGTGCGTGTTGAAAATTGCATTTTTATGTAAATAGCGATCTTCCGCGATAGCAATATCTCGAAGTCGTGCAGTGTCAAAAGAGTCAAGCCCCTTTCAAGTCGAGTGAAACGCGAAGAGATCGAAAGAAAAAAAAGAAGAAAAGAAAATAACAAAATTCTCATACGGTTTTTCCGCAACATTGCTTGTTTAATGACAAATGCGGCCGCCGGATTCGCCGTTCGTTAAATCACGTGCGTCTGATGCCCCGTTAAATTTATTTTTCCTCCTGTGTCTAGTAACTCACGAGGATACGCATACATACGCGCATACGATTCATTGCTGACGGCCTACATTTCCGGCCTGCGCATGCAAACCGGGCGAAATTTTTCGCATTAATTACCGTTTGCGGTCTACCGGCGGTCTCCGCACCAGTTTATTTGATTTACATCTCTTTTTTAGCGTACTATGTATATCTGCCGTCTCGCTGGCGAGGCTGGCGGAATATTCCATCCGAAATGTGGGTGGCTCCTTTCTAAACTCGGCTGTTTAATCTGTGCCGAGAATAAACCTCTCTTCGCGTTAAAACAAAAAAAAATATATATATATTTATATATATATATATATATATATATATATATATATATATATATATATATATATATACTTGTGAAAAGTACTGTATATATATATTTACAGTACTTTCCACAAGTTTGGAAACACCTTACATTTTACAGTTAAACATAATCGTATGGCAGCGATCTGTGTAGATTTTTTGTATGAATAAATCGTAAAATATTTAAATGACATTTTTATTTATGACAAATTTTATTTTTTTTATAATCATTTTTAATTAATAACATTTCAAATAATATACTGATAAAACATTAAGTTTATATTCTTGCATAATTACGAATATCTAATTAAAGAATATTTCTTTAGAGAATTTTTCTCCTAAATTAAGAGGATCGTTTTGACAGATCTGTGCAGATTTTTTGTATGAATAAATCGTAAAATGCTGCCATGCGATTGTTTAACTGTAAAATGTAAGGTGTTTCCAAACTTGTGAAGGGTACTGTATGCAATAAATAACAATGTCCATTTATAAGACTTTTTGTTATCACGATTAATAATATTTCAAATAATATACTGAATAAAAAAAACATCCTATTAAGTTTATATTATTGCACGAATGTTTATATTATTGTTACAAATATCCAATTAAAAATATTTCTTTAGAGAATTTTTCTCTTAAATGAAAAGGATTCTTTTGACAGATCTGTGCAGATTTTTTTGTATGAATAAATCGTCAAATAAACGTCAAATATTTAAATAACATTTTTATTTATGACAGATCGCTGCCGTGCAATTGTTTAACTAAAATTTAAGGTGTTTCCGAACTTGTGAAGGGTATTGAATATGTATATTCTTTTAACGAGGAAATAGTTTTGTCGAAACTTTGTGCAACTATTCCGTTTAACCAAAGGAATTCATTATGTCTAATGTATAATTGATGATCGGGGAATTAACAGCATTCTTCGTTTTCTGATTTCATACAATGAAATATTGGCTCGTTCTTTCTTTTCTTTTTTTTATCGCCGAGTAACGCGCGCCGAGGATTCTTCGAATATCTATACCTAGGTATGGCTGACCTATGGGCTGATATATGTATGGTTGTATCACTTTAAGTACACGCCTCGCGTTTTATTCCGCTCGTATAATCCGGATTCGTTCGAGGATGATAATGGTATACGGAATGTGAAAACGCGAGTGGGTTTTACTACACAAAAACTGTATAACAATTGATGTTGCATCCGCATTGAGAATATGGATCAATTCGGGGTTGGATTTTTTCGCGGTTATTCCACGTATTCACATATGACTTAATCTATCGCAATGAGAATAGAGATCAGTCTGAAAATAAAAATATTTTAGTTGTTTCGTTTCTATACATATACAAATTAAAAATTTTTATTAAAAATTATTTTCTTACATTTTTTCACGTCTGCAATTATTCAACATAAAATATTCATATAACGCAGGTTAAATTAATATTGATAATTTATATAAATAATATATTATATAAATATCATATTTATATAAATTATATATGAATAATATTATATATAAATAATATTATTAAAAATTTATTAAAAATTATTTTCTTACATTTTTTCACGTCTGCAATTATTCAACATAAAATATTCATATAATGCAGATTAAATTAATATTGATAATTTATATAAATAATATATTATATAAATATCATATTTATATAAATTATATATGAATAATATTATATATAAATAATATTAATAAACACATTAGTAGCGACTCGAGGAAAAATTTCATCGGCTTCGAAAAATTATTAACACTGCTTGAGATTGTTATGTATTTTCGTAGCAGAAAAATCCGTTGCGAATCGAGCTACGAATTTTTACGAATTTACGGTTTGACGGAGTTATTTCAATAATATTTACAAAGCTCTATATATCTTTAATTATTTCGTAGGGCAATCGTCATAAAGTCACAGCTTGACTGCCGAGAATTTTAGCAGTGAAAATTTAGCCTGAATTTTTTTTTTTTTTTTTATTTAATTTACTCTGTCGATGACTGCGATCGATAAATCTTCACTGCGATATCTCGTCAGCGTCGACGTCGACGAGCCAGTCGAAAATATGCCGATGCTCGCGAAACAATTGGCGGCAAAGCGCTACCGGAAGTGACCGAGTCGGTGCCGCATGTATTTACGATACTCGACCTACTCTCGCCTGACGTATACGCACGTTAATTGCGCCATCATATGTACATATCGCATCGATATGTACATATGATGCATATACATACTCGCTGCGTACACACGTATTCTACGTAACAGAACACGCGAAATATTTTTCCGGTAACATGTTGTTACAGGGATCTAGTTTCAAAAAGAAGAGAAGAAAATTCAAACTGCGTTTATAAACGGACCAATTTCAAGTATTTTAGTTTGTTTACTGCAATTTTTTATTTTTAGTTTTGTTAGAATCGGTAAAATATGCGGTTGTTTTTCGAAATTGAATATTATAGAAAAAGTTATAGAAATAGCGAGAGAGAAAATGGACAAAGGTTCTTATATTTTCAATGCGAAAAGCTGGTAAAATTGCATATACAAAATAGAATTTGAAATACGCTCGATTGAAAAGTAATAAAGCATGTTTCATAAAATTTTCGATATCTCTTTTATTAATATATGGATTAATCCTCTGCAATTAGTAAAACATCTATTGATTGGAACAATATTTTTAATATTTATATCGAAAAGTGCATGTTATTTGTAAAACCAATAAAATTTTTCGTAAATAATTAAATCGCATATAACGCATTTTACAAGTTCGAAATTTTTCATTGCTTTAGCTTATATAAAAAAAAAGCTTGGCTTTGTTATTTCAAATTGAAACTTCTGCGCGCTATATTTTCATGCGTGTTGTTTGTGTTATGCTATTCAGTTTATGTTACGTATATATTTATCCAAGTCTATAGCTCGAATTGGTTTGTGCATTTCCAACTTCGCCTATTCGCATCCATGTACACTATGATAGAGAATTATATTCCTGTTCGCAGCTAACAGATATCAATTTGCGAGCGTTCAGTAATAGAGATTCACTACGCTGTTTGTAAATTCACTTATCCAAAAGTTGATATCGTGAAAGCATATTGCACGACATTATTTTGTTATCGCTATTATTATATATTTCATGTTGAAATAAGGAAAACTGTTCGATTTAATTAAACATACACGTTATAAACTCGTTTATTAATTGAAATTGTTTTGTTTCATTAGCAGAATATTGAATCGACACATTATTCTGATCAGAATAAACCTTTTCCTCAAAAGAATAAATTGTAAAAGTAGGCCTCGAAGAATCATTTCAATATTTTTGTTGGTATTTAAAATTTTAAAACTCGCTACTGAGCGTTATATATTAATTATATTACATAATTAAAATTTTATTCATTAATACATATTAATTATAATTGTACAAAGATAAAAATTATTATACCATATAATATTATCATAGTATAAATGGAATAAAATATGAATACATTATGAAAGTAAAATAAGATATTATTACAATGCATTCGAAAATTATCCTTCGTAATTTATTTAAGGGAGAAATAATTTATGTGGAATAAAGAAAATTTTTAATTTTTATTTCAAATATAACATAATCATATTAAAAGCGATGCAGTATCTATACGCATAGCTGCATTTTTGCAAGCTAAATAGATTTTACATATTTTACATATTTTACAATGGTTGATTAATCATTTTATATTTTGAG